ACCTGCAGCAGCAGAATCGTTCTGAAGCTACCATTCGGTTACAGACTGAACAATGAAAGTGTTTCGAGGCAAACATCGTTTGAGAAATGCGTCTCCGACTGGGTATCCAGCGACACGAGCAAGACGTGCCCGGGATCGCTGACATCGATGCAGAACATTCGTAGAATGAGATACGGGAGGGTAAAGTTAGGAGAACTTATCCTACCCGTTCAGACCGACTCCGAGCCCTGCATAAATTTTACGCTTTTTTTGAAAGTCCGAGAGTCCTTCCTGAAGACCCCACAGAAACTCCCTTCTCATTCGGAAACTGACGTTGTCTCTTACGGTTTCGATAAGCATCTCCCCGTCACTGGAATTCGAGGACATGCGCTGAACAAGTTCAACTTGAGCATCCTGACCCTTCTCGGATCATCGATCTGGCTCTTGAGCGACACATCGTTCAGCGGATGCTTTCTCGCGCTACTCTGTGGACTATCGACGTCTGAAGAAACTTCTCGCAAGATGAAAAGCCGCGTCGCATCCGCGGTTTTCTTGTGGATCCTATCGAACTTGTTCTTCACAATGATTCTCGTGGACGACATGACCTCGAGCATCAGCATTCCAACCGGACTACGGATCGACCGTCTTCGCGATTGCTCGAATTCTTGGTACAGAACCAAAGCTCGGGTCGTATATCAAATTCGGCCGACCGATCAGTTTTGGGCGGTACTCGTAGATACGAAAGCTCTTCGATGGGACTCGAAGAGTGCTGTGATTATATGCGGCTCGACATTCGAGGTCAACAACATTCGCCGTTTCCTCAATCTGGCCAACCTCTATAGGATTTCCTTAGTGAGAGATGATCGAAAACTGATTTTGTTCCCGAATCCCTTCGGCTGGGCCAAGATCCCAAGCTTCTCGAGACCGATGCGGATCATAGCTTCTCATGTGGATAATGTCGAGTGGAACGAATACGCCGCAATTTTATTGAGATTCAGCATTCTGAGCGCTCCGCGGCGGAATTTTTTGCGGGAAGAGTCGAGAGCGGTGGAGAGGTATCTCGAGACGAAGTACGGCTGCTGCAGCAGCAGAGAGAGAGCGGACGAAGGCTTCTTGAAGCTGCTCACTTACTTCTCAGCAGGACAGCGCAATCCGAAAAACAATCAACTCGATTTTCCGCTTCAATTCCAATTGATCGCTCTCGGCGCCGGAATCGTCTTGTGCTTTGCAGAACATCTCATTCGGAAGCTTTTTCGTCGAGAAGAGCACAATCCTCCATCTCGAAGCCACGACCCCGGCAGCTCCGGGCGAAGGGCGACGTGGAGAAAGTGGCAGACCGCCGCATCTCCGGGGGAAGGGTCTCGCGTGTTCGCCGTTTGACGATCCCGGAGAACACCCGTGATGCGCGGCAGATCGCAGCGGAGGCATCGGCAGTCTCTCCACATATGCTCAGCGTCGGATGGAGCCTATATGCTTCACTCGTGCTGAAAGTCGATACCCTGAACGCGCAGCAGCGGAATGGTACGCGGGATCACTCGCAATTGAAAAAAAATCAGACTGAGTACACTTGCAGCAGTCAGATGAGTCAAGCGGAAAAGTGTTCGAAGACTCGCTTGTCCATCTCGCACCGGAGCTTCCCTCGAGGAAGAGGACAGACAGTCTCCCATCCAGTTTCCGTTTCATTGCTCTATCCCGCGGAACCCCAAATATATGGTGCCTATACATCGTCGTGCAAGTCATTTTGCGCGCAGCGTCGGAATGAGCGCAGAGCCAATCGCGCGCTAAATGAGATTTAAACGAAATATCAATTTAGGCGTGGAGGTGGATGAAGGTCCTGCGCGGGATCAACTTGTGCAGAGATGCAGCTCGCACGCATCCCTCATCCAATATTTCCGGATTCTTGACGAGGAAGCGTGAAGCACCAGCTCTTTGGACTCTTGTAATATAATTAGTGTGTAAAACAATATTCATGGCGGAGCCAAAAATACGATGCGCCGCTTCGGGTGCGCGCACGTAACGCGTATCCCAATAAGACTTAAGTTCATCATGATGTTGTTCATCGTCCGGGGAGCGATTGAGTCTGATGCGCGCACGATCCGTACTTCTATGAAGATATTTAGTATAGAGGTATTTTTGTAGAGTAATGTGGGAAGCGTTCAGCGCCACAATTGACCCCTTTTCTGAATGTGAGATACAAACGGCGTGCAGACGCTCTCTCTGGTCCATAATAAAAATTCATTCCGTATTAGCCGTTGGCGACGTAAGACGTGTGTTCTCCTTCTCTATACTCATAGCCTGAGACAAGGGAAAAACCCAAGTGAACTCACAACAATTTCAACTCAATTTCAACCGCGTCGCATCCGCGGTTTTCTCGTGGATCCCATCGAGCTTGTTCTTCACAGTTGTCAATAATTTTCCATCCTCCAAACAATTGTTGTGTAAAATTCTCCTATTCATAACTCCCGCCTTTGTGTACTTGTGAACGATCTCACTCTCTCTTGGAGAGACACCACATGCACGTTTTCAATAAAGCATTCGAGTGAAAGTCGCGCGCAATGCAGGTCGAATCACGAACGATCGAGTTCTCAATCTTGCGCGTTAAACTTGTGCTCCGAGTTTAAAAGTCCCTCAGTGCTCGAATTCGGCAAGCATCATCTATTTCGACAATTTGGTGCAAGTGACCAGGATTAACCCGTTTCGATCATCCGAATGCCTGTGGGACACTCGCCGGACCAAGACGACCGCTTGCTGCGGCACGTTGGGGCAGATCGCGTGCCTCAAGAGCCCGCTCAGGATCTCGCCCCGAGCCTGTCCGTCCTTCGCGGCCGAAGAACTCGAGCCAAAAATGCGCTCCTGGAAGAGATTCGGGCGATCAAGGACATCGATCGAATTACGGATTCGAATCGCCTCGAATTTCTCGGCGCTAAATCCAGAATCCAGAGCCGCGTTGAAATAATCCGAGCACTCGTGGATCAGATCTGCAGCCATAAATCGCTCCCGGCCAACGATGCTGAGCGTGAAGCCGAAGAGGCTGAGGTTGCAGTCGAAGCCTGTTTGTCGGCGACGGCACTCGTCGATGCTCTAATGGAGCTCCAATCGATAGAGAGCGGCGTCGAGTCGACATTGTCCGGCTCATCGAGCGGGTCGGCTGCCGCCGTCGGTAGTCAAACCCTTCCGCCGGTAGCCGCCGCGAGCGGCGGCGTCGTCGTCAGCGGATCGCTATCGTCTGAGCGATCGGACGGCGGCCTCACGTCAACATCAGCTCGAGAAAATGTCAACAATGGCTCGAATACGGCGAACAAGTGCGCGAACTCAAGACTATTCTTAGACACTGCCCCCGAGGTTTTCGAAGGAAGCATCGCCCGATACAAGCTATGGAAGTCTCAATTCCTAAACTACGTCCGAAGCCGAAGCGAGGCCACAGGTTGCGACAAGTTGGTCGCTATGTGCAAGCTCTTAAGAGGCCCTCCGAAAGATCTCATCTGTGAGCTACCGCTGACCGACAGCAACTACGAGGTAGCTCTCCGACTACTCGATGAGAATTACGACGTTCCGGATCGCCGGCAGCAGGATGTACTCGCCAACGTAGTCAACGTACCAAGTGTTCGTCATGCGTATGATACGGTTGGCTTGCGTGAGTTGTTAAATGTCGTTCAGCGCACTATCCTAGCGCTGGCGACTGTCAATGTACCCTTGCATACGATCGCCCTCACCTACGAACAAACAGTTCGTAGCGCACTCCCAATCTCATTGATCCTAACGTTCGACGATCGTCAGCAGCTCGATGCCGACTCAGGGGAGACCGAGCAGCAGGATCAGGCTGCCGCAGCGGCTGTGCGTCTGGAGCGATTGCTCTCATTCCTCCGCCGTTACACTGCGCTCCGGGAGAGAGCTTCAACCAAGCAACGGAATAATGTCGGAGACGTCAACGGATTGGGTCTTCACGATCAGAAGCGACCTAAGACGCGCGAAGCCCCCAGATTTCCGCCCCGTCAACAATTTCCGTCTACAGCCGTTGCGACCGCAAGCAAGGGATCTCGGAGGCAGCCAAAGGTTCGGAAGAACCCCTGCTTATTCTGCGGTAGCTCCGAGCATCGTCCCTCAGTTTGCTCAGCGGACCTTCCGGGTCATCGCCGCGTCGAGATACTTAATCAGAAGAAGCGTTGCCCGAAATGCTTCCAATTTCAACACGTATCACCGCGCCAGTGCGACGGCCCGAAGGAGGCCTGCCATAAGTGTGGGAGTAAAGATCATTATACCGTCATGCACAGCCTGGGACCGATTTCATCCGAAGAAACCGCGCGCACTGCCGCGAGCATCCTGCAAAGTGTCGCAGCCATTTCGACCATTCGCTCAATCGTCATGACGGCCTCTGCATTCGTCGTCCACGGCGCGCACCGAATCCGAGTCCGATGCTTCATTGACAGCGGGTCGATGGTTTCCTTTGTATCACCGAGGCTCATCGGACAGCTATCGGACATGCGGCCCCAGGCGCGGGTTGATTTACAGCTTCAAGCCTTCGCCAGTGAACACGCACTCGTCGCAAACCGTTACGCAGTCCAGTTGGTCGGAACTCACGACGATTCACAGAAGTTGTCATCCAGGCTCATGAATACGCTTTCGGCGTCGACCGCCCGCAAACTGTTCGCAGGAGATGCGCGAGCTCATCCGTCAATTCGGTAAAACTCACCAGCTTGCCGACGCTTCTTTGATCGACCCTGAGTTCGACATGGAGCCTGACCTGCTGATCGGCGTCGATCAGATGTATAAGATTCTACATCTGAACTCGGAGAAAATTCTCGCCGATGGTCTCATTGCAAAGGCATCACGCTTCGGGTGGATCCTGTCCGGTGCATACGGACCCAAGACCACACGTGGGGAAGTTGTCCGCGTTCATCCCATCTGCTGTCCAGCGACCCTTACGCAGACCGCCAAGGATATACAATGTCTGTGGTCATTAGATGCCGTCGGCATAGTCGATTCGAATGAGAGGAAAGTACAGCGCGGCTGAAGTCGACGCCATGCAACAATTTAAAGACAGCGTCGAGTATGATGGTCAGCGCTACACCGTCGCCATGCCGAAGCGACCGTCAATCCTCCAGCTCTCGAACAACTTGGAGATAGCTCGGAATCGTTTGATTGCTAAGCGGCGCAGCCTGTCTCGAAACCAGGAGTCCTTCCGGCGTTATGATGCGGAGATATCGAAATTCCTCATGGAGGGCCACGCCGAAGAAGTCCACGTCGACAATCTCAGTGCTCCAAGCGCACGTGACCGTTCCTACTATCTACCGCATCGTCAAGTCATAACACAACGCGCCCACGGAGACAAATGGCGAATCGTCTTCGATGGTTCAGCGGCTGCGCCCGGAGAGACATCGCTTAACTCCCATCTACTAACCGGTCCGAACCTAAACCCGGATATACTCAAGCTAATGCTCAACTTCCGTCTGCGTCCAGTCGCATTGTCAGCTGATGTCGCCCAAGCGTATATGACCATCAACCTCGTCGAGGAGGACAGACCGTATTTCCGATATCTTTGGCAGGGACCTCAGGATAAAGAGGTCCGATGTTTCCAAATGCGCAAAGTCGTATGGGGAGCGACGCCCAGCGGCTTTCTGCTGGCTGCTGTTCTCAGAGAGCACTTCGGGCGGATTGATCCTGAGTCGAAATTCGACCTCGGCAACTCATTCTATTTCGACGACATGTTGCGTAGTTTCGACTCCATTGAGGATGCCAGGCATTTCGTTGAAAAGCTCATACCTTGGATGAGGGCTGCTGGGATGACTCTCGGGAAATGGAAGTCGAATTCCGAGGAGATCCTCCAGCATGTGAACTCTATCACCTCATCTGGATGTACCCCCGGACTTGTCGAGACCGGTCTTCTGAAGGTGCTTGGAATTGCTTGGTCCCCAGGCGAGGACAGTTTCCACTTCCAGCTCGCAGATCTTGTCAAGACTACTACGGACATCAAACGAGTAACGAAGCGCAACGTACTGCGCATTGTCGCTTCCATCTTCGATCCAATCGGTTGGCTCACCCCATTTACACTTCGAGGAAAACTGCTAATACAACGATTGTGGGACACGAAACTCCGTTGGGACGACGCCATGTCGGGCGCTCTTCTGCAGGATTTCACGACGTGGTCGTCTGAAATTCCAATGCTCACCACTCTCAGTCTTCCCCGTTCGTGTTGGGATACGCAACGAAAGATCACATCCTATCATCTCCACGTCTTCGGAGACGCCAGTGAGCGAGCGTATGCTGCATGTGCTTATCTTCAGGGCATATACGCGAATGGAGGCAGCAGCTGCATGCTCGTGATGTCGAAATCTCGGGTCGCCCCAAGAGATGGCACGACCTTACCGCGCCTTGAGCTACTCTCGGCCCTTCTGGGGGCCCGACTGCGATCATTCATTATCGAGCGCCTGAGTGTGTCGGTCGAGCGGGTGTTCCACTATACCGATTCTACTGTCGCGTTCCACTGGTGTACGTCAACTGATCCTACGAAATGGAAAACATTTGTCTGCAATCGCGTGATCGAAATTCAAAGGCTCTCATCGCCTTCTGAATGGTTTCACGTTCCCGGCAAAGAAAAAATCCCGAATTGGTAGTGCTAAAGCACTACCGAAGGTAGGGCGTGAAAACGTCCAAACTCATACAACACACACTAGGCAAACTATCGAATAAAGGTGCTCATGAATGTGTAAACTCGCGAAGAAAAAATCATATTTATGAGGTTTCTGTGAGCACGAAAAGTTCCTCGAACTCAAGGCTGCACCCATCGACCTTGAACCATTGACGAAGTCTTTCAGCGTCGGCGTCACCTGCCGCCTCACGGATGATCGTGTTTGTCGTTGTCGACAATTGCCTCGTCCCGTTGTAATCTCGTACTTGAAGGTTTTGTAAGATAACTGCCTCGCCTTCTTTCCCATCTAATTTGCCGACAAACTCTGACCAGAGTCCAAGATTCACCATTTTCATACTATCGTCGAGAACCGTCACCGTTTGCTTTACACGATTGATCCCATCCCGACAATTGAATGTTTGGGGTGGTCTCACGTCGAATACAACCACGAGGATATCGACCGTCGTGTTCACGGGCTTTGTGAGCAGCTCCATCAGAACCGTCGTTTGCGCCTGAATCTTTGGAAGATCGTTTCCCGTGATTGGTATGACTTTACTTAGCTTAAAATAGAGATATTTCTTGAATCCCTCATTTTCTATTAGCGTATGAAAATTTTCGTTCCACAAGCCATAATTTCTTCTGACTAATGTTATGTTGAATACCTTCGTAAGCTGGAGTTCGCATTCATGGTCAGTCGCTCGGTATTGGGGATTCACAGCTTTGACCTTGTATGCATTTATCTTGTAGCATTGTCCAACCGTGATCATATCAAAAATCTCCTCCGCAGAATCCCCTGACGCGATCACATTTATCTCACCGCTTGTGTCGCTCATCACGAAATTGAAGATTTTTCCACTGCCATCCCCCTTGGACCAATGTTTCACTGGCGTCTTGGATTTGACGCGCCCTTCGACCTGGCCGCATCCCTTACCTAGTCGGATTTCGTGGAGCAGTTTTGATTTCTTCTCCGGGGGAACATGGATTCCAGCGGAACCTTCGGACGTGCTCGGTTCGCCACGATCATTCTCCGCCCGATCCGCTGTTGATAAATACATAAAATGATGGTAAAAACCATAAGCTACGTGGTCATCATCACTCCCCGGAATCCGCAATCTTGCGAATTGGACTCGCCTTGTCTCTTTCTCGGGGCGGCCGTATGTCTCGAACTCGGCTTTGACATTGGGGGATGCTTTCGGTTTACACCGTGACTTTTCGCTCAAAGATTGCTTTTCGTTGTTTGAGACTCGAAAACAATTTGCTGGGGTTCTGGATTCTTTATATACCTTCTGGCGCCACGGATATATATTTCACGTAGAAATGATCACACCTCGGCCAATATATGTTCATGGTCTCTCTTTAGTCTTCCATATGTCTTCCTCGTGTTTTTTTCATTCTATTTCGGTCCCATGTGTTTAATGTTTCCTGAATTCCCGCTGTGTGGTTGTCTCTCTGTGTGTGCGGTCGATTTTTGCTCTGTCATCGTTCGTATCCCGTGTCAATCCCGTACGCGCTTCTCGTTTACTGGGGTATATATTGTATCTTGTTGAATACGGGACGATGATACGGGAAGTAGGATACGCATGCTCTGCATGATATCGGAAGGTGTTTAGCAAATGTCAGATCGAGGCATGTCCCTCTCAGAGTGGTCTTTTTTGCCTTCAAACCGTGGTGTGTTTCATGGAATACCTCCAATTTTTTCCGGTTATATATATAATCGACAATATTTTATGGAGAGCTAATTTATGACAATATATCGGCCGGATAGTTTATTCCGCGGCATAGGCCACAACGACTTCCATATCAGTCAGTGTCTTTGTCAGCCTGTGCGGCCCCTCGAAACTGACTAAATCTTCCGCCGACCGACATATGTAGCAGTGACCGCAGTATCCAATGAGGGATCTCATATATTTCTCAAAGTTGGTGACACTGACGCTGCGTCGCCGTCTCCCTTCCCGGGAGACTATGATTATCGTCAGGTTCCTGGTAATCGAATCTGCGTCGTCGTGACCTTCCGTGATATGTTGCACAGTTTTCGCGCCTCCACTCTGCTCGTGTGTGACTACGACAGGAACGCTGGTGATAGATATGATCGTGCTGTGCCTTTGAATCGCTTCAGCTTTTTCCATTGCGGACCATGTCTGCTCTCTGTCACTCCAAAGATGCAGGATCACTGGCGTCCCGTACGGCTTCTGCGCGATATGGTCTGGTCTTCGACGGGTTCGCAAATACAATGGAGCTTCTTGATTCATTCTTGATGTTCGGTCACGGTCGTTGGGGATATCCGCGCTCCTTGGACTCTCAGCTACGCCGAGGACAAACTCATGTGAATCCATCGATGGTATCATCGTAGTGTTGAACGGTCGATTCGGTTGCCGATGTTTTCCGATCCTTTGACTGATGTGTCACCAACTTTGTTGTTGCTGTCAATTCAATCGCGGTGTATGGATACGAGTCGTATTTATATGCTGGTGTTTCTAAGCTGGGACTACACAATCGACGCCTTTCACTAATCCCTTCGCCTGTTTTCTCACCGATTCGGGATGGAGAAATACCTCCCGAAATACCTCATGAAATACCTCCTGCTAAATATTCTTCAATTCTGGGCAGCTGCCGCTCGAGCGGATGAACACGGACCGCGGTCGGAGAGGGCGATTCGAACGCGGGAAACGCGGGGAAGAATGGAAATTGACTCAGAGATTCCGCGAGAGGTTCCGCGGAACCCTCACGGGGCTCCCCGACGAGTCGCACGGAATCCCATGGGTTCCACGAGACCGAAAAATACGCCTGTGAGAACCACTGGCGTATTGCATCGCTACGAACGAAAACCCGTCGCGATCTCCGAATGATTTGGACAGGGAACTCACTCAAATCAACCTTGTCGTAATGACATGGATACTGTATTACGTGTGGTGATCTCATTGGATATTTATTCTTGACTCATAGTTATATATGACTCTGAGAGCGCTCTGACGTACACGACGCCAATTTGGATCACCTTCCAATGGAATAATTATGCCATGTTTCACATGTATGTAACGATGGAATCGATGATTGTGTGGAATGGGAATCGTCACCGTGAAATATATGTTGAATGAATCGATTGTTAGCAATCTGGATGATCCGTCGTGGTTCCAATCGACGCAGTCCCTTGAATAGATGGCGAGGATTCTTTTTATGGGATTATTGTTCCTTGTTCCCCACTCTAGAAGGTCACGGCACAACTGAACAGCGTGGACTCGCCGGCTGGGATCACGCATCACGATTTGGTGATGACAACTCATATTCAATCAGGAATCTTTTTATGATCCGTCCGTTTTGAGAGAATCACAAGCGAATGTCACCAATTAGTGTCTCGTTATCGTTATTCTCGATGATTATATATCTGGTGCTCTACGGTGACCTCATTTATGGCGTGTGAGGTACGACTGTCCAATAAAAATAATTCCCAGACAATGTCTATGGTCACGCTTATGTATTCGGTTTTTTGTGTATGCTGGCTCGGTCCTGATTCGTGGTGTCCGTCACCATCGCCTTGTTTTTCGCCTAGTGCCGCCGTTGCGAAATGTGCCGTGGCGCATTGCTCTGGTCTCGATTCCCCAGTGCAGCTCACCGGAATCAATAATTTTTCGTCCGCAAACCGAACTTTGACTTTTCGCTTGTGACGTTCCCTACTTGCATTTTTCGGCCTCATTAGGACGGTCTCAAAATCGAAGTGAATCGGTATGCGAGCGTAGACACCATCACGGTCCCACCATTCGGGCACCTCACGAAACTGAAGAATCGTGATGTGCCCGAATCTGTGACCGGTGTTTCACAGGCGTCTTGGCTTTGACGCGTCCCTCGACATGGCCGCATCCCTTACCTAGTCGGATCACGTGGGGAAATTTGATTTCTTTTTCGGGGGGACAAGGATTTCAGCGTATTTCTCGGACGTGCTCGGCTCGCCGCGATCATTCTCCGGCCGATCCGCTGTCGATAAAAACATAAATTGATGGAAAAACCATCAGCTACATGGTCATTATCACTCCCCGGAATCCGGAATCTTGTGAATTGGACTCGCCTTGTTTCATTCTCGGGGTAAACGTTTGTCGTTGGCCTCGACATCGGGGGGCGCTTTCGGTTTACTCTGCGGAAGTCGTCACCGTGTCTTTGGTCGCATCCCTTACCTAGTCGGATTTCGCGGAGAAGTTTCGATTTATTCTCCGGGGGGACATGGATTTCAGTGTATTTCTCGGACGTGCCCTGTTCGTCGCGATCATTCTCCGGCCGATCCGCTGTTGATGAATACATAAATTGATGAAGCTACGTGGTCATCATCACACCCTGGAATCCGGAATCTTGTGAATTGGACTCGCCTTGTCTCTTTCTCGGGGTAACCGTATGTCGTTGGCCACGACATCGGGGGGTGCTTTCGGTTTACTCCACGTCTTCACCGTGTCTTTTCGCTTTGTGTTTGCTTTTCGTTGATTGAGACTCGAAAACAATTTGCTGGGGTTCTGGATTCTTTATATACCTTCTGGCGCCATCGATATATCTTTCTCGACGACATGATCATACTTCGGCCAATATATGCTCATGGTCTCTGTTTAGTCTTCCTTATGTCTTTCTGATGTTTTTTCCATTCTATTTGGGTCCCATGTATTCAAAGCATCCTGAATTCTCGATATGTGTCCGTCTCTCTGAGTGTGTGTTCGATTTTCGTTCTGTCATCGTTCGTATCCCGTGTCAATCCCGTACGCGCTTCCCGTTTACTGGGGTTTATATTGTATCTTGTTGAATACGGGACGATGATACGAGAAGTAGGATACGTATGCTCTGCATGATATCGGAAGATTTCTGGCAAATGTCAGATCGATGCATGTCCCTCCCAGGGTGGTCTTTTCCGCTTCATTATTGATCATTTTCAAACCGTGGTGTGTTTCAAGGAATACCTCCAATTTTTTCCGGTTATCATTGGATGTGTTGAAGTCACCGATAACTAACATG